GAACTGTATTGATCGCTTCTATCTGATTAGATTAGATAGAACTGTATTGATCTAACCACAGGATGCTGCAGCCGATGACTTTCTCATTTTTATGACAGCCGACAGCTCATCGTGTAAAAACTGATTATATTCTGAGTAAACGTGTTAGAAACCGTAAAAAACAGCACCAAGATATTCAACAAAGACAACAAGAGAACATGAACATGTGAGAAGCTCTGTGAAGTTCTGGTCGCTGAGGCGGATTTGACTGCTTTACATGATCTCAGAGGCAGCAGCCTCTCATGCTCTCAGTCCATCATCTCCTCTGATAATCGTCAGTCTTTCCATTCAGACAAACACGTCGGCTCTACAGTGTTAGACGGACATCAGCGTGACTAAACTAGATGGAAATTCTGTGGCGCTGTGGGCCGCATTAGCTGCAGGAGCAGAGGAAGACATGTCAGCTGTGGTCGGCCATGTTTGATGATGTCAGAGACAGCTGATCAGTCACATGACTTCAGTGTTCACTGCATACTTTATGAAATACATTATTTTTTTCTTTCTTGGACAGCTCGGTGGAGAGAGGAAGACGGGAACGTAGGGAGACGGTCGTGGGTCGGACTGGAACCCGCGGCCGCTGCTGTTCGCGGGTCGCCCACTGCACCAATCAGAAAAGGTGTTTTTGTCTCCGTGGAGATCAATAACTGTTACAAAAAAGAAGATCAAAAACCACCTCAAGAGCAGAGAGCAGAAAAACTATTTCAGGAAACTTAAAAAGTTTTTATTTGCTTTTTATTGTTTTGCTGTTTCCAGAAACTTCCTGTGATGAGGAACTTTAAATCCGGCTGATTTCAACTCAGCAGTCGCTTCAGCTTCTCCGGCCGACGTGCTGTTTGCTTTGAGGGACACGATTACATCTAAACTGGGTTCTTCCTGACGCCTGACATCAACAAACAAAGATGCATGTTGGCGTCTGAGAGTCGAGCGGCGCATCAGAGCGGCGCCGCGACGCCTCGAGCTGCTCAGCTTCCTCTGAAGCTCCATTAATCCGATGTTCCAGCTCACATTCAGCCACAGACACAGTGTCGAGTGGAATCCTGTCCCCGGCAGCAGAACCGGACCTCAGCACCGGACACAGGATTCAACACGTCACTCACAATATAGTGGAAAAGCTAAAGTGCTCATGTTTCCTGTGAAAAATGAAAATACTGATGATGTTTATTTCTCTAAATACCACAAAAAGCCACAAACCAGCTGTTCCACCAACAACCAGGAGTGGAACCAAGAAGAACCTCCATGTCTGAGGAGCTGCAACCAATCAGAGCGCTGTATGAGC